ATAATCGTCTAATGGGTTGACTGGTGGTATTATCACCCAAAATGGGCAAGGGTTCTGCTAACTAAAACTTGCCTACCCCAAGCCGGAATCAAACCATAAACCCCTTAACAATACTGCATATAGGTGCTGAGCCCGGAACGCGAATAAACCCCACACCACCAAAGCAACCAACCGCGCTAGACCTAAAAACCCTAAACCCTAATCTTAAACTAAGCCCAAACACCTAAACCCCTAAACCCTAAACCCTAAGCCCAAACATCCGTATCCCGCGAGGATGGCACGTGTTTCCAATTCGCCTCCCCAGAGATCTGCCAGAACAGATCCTTCGTCCTTCAGGCAGCAGGGCGGTTAGGGCCCAGGTTCTTCCAAAACCCAGACCCTCAACCCCGTTCAGGGTTGAGGGTTTAAGGTTTAGGGTTTAGGGTTTAGGGTTTAGTAACAGCATTTGAAGCATAAGCCTTGAAGTCTCTTGTTTAAGGGTTCCTTCTCAACTTCGCCTCTTTCTGAGGATCCTTATGCCCCCGAACTCTAGAAAACCTTACACCCCAAGCCCCTTAAACCCCAAGATCCTACACTCCTGAGCCCTAAACCCTAAAACCTACACCTCCTTTTGTGAGCCCCGGAGGCCATCCAGGCCACACGGGCCTGGTGGCTTCTAAAGTTTGTCTCCGCCGAGCTCCTGGCGGACGAACCCGGGCTCTTTCTGCAGAATCCGTAGTGGGAGATTTGTGGGAAATTGCATCGCTGCATGAGTACACCTTTTACACTTTGGGGATAGTGTAATCCCAGGCTTTTGAACTCAGCAACTAAGGAGAGCTTCGTGGAGGAATGCCGGGCCTGTGCCGGGTGGGGGGTTGCAAAACGAGAGTTTTCAAGTTTGTTTTTGGTATTTTGGGGTTTGGGGGTTGTGTGAGGATTGTGGAGATTTTTGAGTGCTTTCGGGTTTTACAGTTCACGGTTTAAGGTTTCATGGTTTGGGATAAAGGTACAGCGCATATGTTCGGGGAGCAGGTTTCCTGGGGTTTAGTGCTGCCAGTGCTGTCAGCAGTGGCTTTTTGACCAGTTGAGAAACGATCCCGAACATACTTACAAGGGGAGTTCTGCTGCAACTTCGAGATGCCTCCGTACATTGACAGTCTTGAGGGTGATGGTATGATTACGAAGTCGGGTCACCATAGGATCAGCTTCTCTGATATCGGCAGTTGCAGAATGCCTTATCCCGAGATTGTCAGCCCCAAAACAGCAAGCCTAGACCCCTTGGCATATTCAACTTCCAGAGCCTGTATACAACCAAAGAGCCCCCATGTAGACCGTTGGGCGGAGCACCCCAAGTCCGAAGGTTTTAAGCCCTAAACCTGAAATTCCCAAGTCCTAAACCCCCAAAAGCTGAACTTACACCAACGAAAACCAGGCCCTACACCTGAAAAGAAGGTTCGGCTTGGTTTTCACCTTCTACGAGAACTACTCCTGCTCTGCGATGATGCGAAAGCTCTTTAAGACGACAGTGGCCTCCGTCCCAGGAGGTGCCCCATGGTTGTCGCCGTTTTCGTAGGGCCTTAAAAAAGGGTTTCAATTTTGTGTTGTGGGCTTATTATAGGTATGTGCAGGGTTATGCACGTTCCAGGGGCTGAAAGAAAGTTATGTGAGTAGAGTTTTTATTTAGGCGAGAAACCAAAGTTATTTGGCACTACGAGAGCTAGAGGGCGTGGGGTTTTATTGATGGTAACGAGATGGGGGGCCCGCACAGGCCATCTGCACGTAATGACGCTGTGATGTAAGCCTTTGCAATCTGCTTTGGCTCGTGGCTCAGGGCACTACATCATCGCCAATTTGTATAAATCTTGCCATCGACAAGTAGCCTAAGTTCCGAATAGAAGCCAAGGGTCGACATGTGGTTGGAGAGTTTGCAATGGACGTCCTAAGTTCCGAGCGGTGTGAGCCTAACAAAAGACAAAAGGATGAACACGCATGAACACGTGACGTTAAAGAACACTGGCCAAGGCAATATTCCAGCTTCTTCATCCCCATGCGTACTCGAGATGCCCAGGAAGACATATTTGGAGACCGCTCATGATAAAACACGATCTAGGACTCATGCGAAGCACGAACGCTGTCGCTCATGTAGAAACATGGCCTGGCCACTGTGGTCTTGCGGAAGTTGGTTAGGCAACAACTCTTCTGCTTCATTTTGTGCGTTTTTTTTGAGGCCAGGTGTCCATGCCTAGTATTCAGGGGAAACTTCCTGGGGCCTTTATTTGTCCGAAACTCCCATCTTCAAGTTAAACATAGGCATAATTTTCACCAAATATTCATACAAGTAAATGAACATATATGAACCCAACCTACGGCACTGAACTACGGAAAGGCACTTTAAGCCTAAAGTCTTGATCTGAGCCCAAGACTAAACTAACATCTTCAGCCCTAGACGCTAGACCGTCGAAATTCACAACGCCAAGCCTCGGAGCATGAACTCGGCCGAGTTTCCCAGGTACCTACTATATAAGGTACTAGAGCCCCTAGGGCCCTTTTGTAGTAGGTACCTGGAGGATTAGGGTCGGCTTCTAGGAAGGATTCCTTTGGGCCTACTGTATTATTGTACTACTGTGCTACCGTACTATTGAAATGCTGTATTACGGTACTACGACGCGGCAGCAAATCAATCCCTCTCGGGTTCCCAGGCACTGCCTATCAGGGAGTCATGGAGATGCTGAACGGAGCCGAGCATGGGAGCACTTGGTCTTTAAAAGAATGAGTCATTAGGTTCCCCTATAAGGCCCATATGTTTCCCCTGTAATAAGGCCCCTACATAGCTGTACGGTCTTTAAAGAAAAAAGAGAGTCATTATGTTTCCCCTATAAGGCCCCTGCATAGCTGTACGGTCTTTAAACGACTGAGTCATTATGTTTCCCCTAGAATAAGGCCCCTACATAGCTGTACTACAGTATGCCTGAGACCCGATTCTACTTGTGAAGGCGCTTCGGTCAAGCCCTTGGAGGGAGTTTTGGGTTCAGGGCTGGTTGGGTCTCAAGTTGTGGATTTCGATTTCACGCCAAAAATCACTTGAAGCCACGGGTTCTGCGGCCAAATCCTGCAAGATCCACAATGGAATGGTCCATGCCATATGTGTGAAAATAACACCTGTATCCCATCGTCTATTCAGTCTATTCATATTTAAGCTTATCCCTAAGGCCCCAGGTTCAAGAAGGTTCTGTGAGCTGCTGAGTAAGTGGGGTCCAAGTGGTGGTGGCGTACGGTTGAGGGCTTGTTGCCGCGCCACCGCATGGAGATTCACAGCGCAGCTGAGCTTCCTAGTGGGGGCAAACTTGCTGGCGGACACTCATCGCCGAACTTTTAGCACGCCTAGGTCTTGACAGTCCGGCTTCATTTAAGTTGGGGTTAGTTTTGGCAGGAGACTCGAAGGTTTCGGGCCGGTGATCTCCGGAGTTGGAGCGCGGGAGTTACGATTCGGACGTAAAAACACGGTGTCATAGAATCCGCCACCATCCAGGCACTGCCACCGTCTGGTTCGGAGATGAGCTGGTCTTCGGGAACAGCGCAGACGATGGCAACTGGATCCATCCCAGTGGCGACTGTGGCCGGGACTCCCGAATCCAATAAGGGGACCCTCATATAGTGCCCTAAATAGTAGGATCCCTATTATAAGGACCCCAAATTAAGGTACCCCTTATTTACACAGCCAAAGCTAAAGATCAAAGCCTGGGGCTTAAAGCGTGCAGTGCGCTCAAGCGTAGCCCGCACAAAACACCGAAGCGCGAGCAACAACTCAACCTCCCGTGTCAACACCTCCCAGACGTTACTCCCCAAAATCCTGGGCCCCGAAATCCTACATGACTAACCCGATTAAGCCTACAGCAACCTCTCTTATCCCATGCCAGAAAACCCTTTTCGTTTCCTTACAGGAGCGTTTTAAGATACCCCTCCGAAAATTCTGAAAGGGATCCCAATGGTCCCATGTCAGGACAACGTCCCAGTGCCCATCGGAGACTGCGATGCGAAATGGAGGTCTCCCGTGGAATCGCGAAGTGCCCGACAAGAGCCAGACCCCGGAGAAAGCTACAAGTGCTTCTTGCCTCGCGAGTCCATGTTACAGCTGGGGCTTATTGGGCTTGATACAACTTGTTGTTTTTTGCGAGTTATTGTCGGGTTTGTGGGCTTTTTACAAATTCTTTCAATTGGGGTTTTGGTTTTGTTGTTGATGGTAGTTGATTTGGACAGTTCAGGGAAACTGACAGATTGACTGTCCCACGGACGCCGGGAGATGTTGCCCATGATGGGATAGCTAATCGACACATGCAGAAGAAAGATGCCTCAGACCTAGAATCTTGATGGCCTAAAACCTAAACCCTAAAGCACTAAAGCCCTAAACCCTACATTAAATGGGTTGAAGGGGGTTGCATTGCGTTTATAGGGGTTTGAGATGGGTTGAAGCGGGAACTTTTCAACCGGCAGGCTGGTGTTGCCACTGGATCCGGGAGGTGCGGAAGCACCATGAGACCGGCGCCATCATCTGCTGCGCCGTTTCGAACATCTATGAAAGGGTTGCTTGGACAGTGAGGGATTACGAGTCAAGGGTTCTGAAACCTGAGCCCGAACCCCACGATCCCAAATCGGAGTGAGAGAGAGTCAGAGAGCCGAATTTACTCCGAATTAGACAGTCGGGTTTAGTGGGGTCTTTGTAAGTGTGGAGTCTCACCATCTGAAAGTGCACAGGGCTTCTTACTACAATCCAAGGCAGCTAAGGCAAATTCCCTAACTTGGGTTTTCTGGGTCCAGCTGAGGGCCGCTGTACAACCATCCTAATCGTATACTGTAACCTGACGCCCTAAACCCTGTGTGCGCAACCCAAAACCTCGAGCCTGTTCAACCCTAAGTTCAATGGTGGCTTGGGCCTTTTGGGTTTAAAGCTACGTAAGACCCGATACAAAACACGGTTAGTCCCGGTAAGGCTATTTTGATCCCCTTTAAGCTCTGCAAAACCTTGCTTGCCCACTTTTTACCAAGACCCGGTTACAGCCACATTAGCACCGCGCTCCATCCCAGCTGGGGGTCTTAGCAACCCAATTTTACAAAGCACAAAAAAGATCCTATAGACACCAAACTGAGACCCCAGTTAGAACCACACTAAAGCTCTAAACCCTAAACCCTAAACCCCATATCAAGTTCAGCCGAGGGTTGGGTGGAAGAATACAGCGCCGGCTCCTCCGAGCTTTCGGATGCGGACGCCACGGCTCTCGAACTACCAAGGTGCCTCGCAATGCTAGGAAGGCTTTCTCAGCTTTATGGTCTAGGATTTAGGGTTGAGGGTTTAGGGTAATTAGGGTTTAGGGTCTGTAGGCTATTTGGTTGAGTCCTTGGTTGGAGCTTGAAGGGACAACTCTCCTGCCAAGGGAAGTCTTCCGGAACGGCCAGCCCAGGGGTTGGGGAGAAGGGACGATCAGGATCTCCAAAGGGCTCAGCTTCCATCGCAAAGCGCCCATCCACTCGGACACAAGGAAGCCACTGGGGGTGGGCTGCCGATGGGAGCGGCACGTTTTAGATAACCTCGGCTTCCCTGTCTATGCCTTCTTCATGCCGTAATTCACGCCAGGCGTGGGCCTTTTTTTTTGGGGGGGTGTATCCGGATCGTTCAAGACGCTTAGCCGGAACCTTGAACCCCAAGTCCCAAAGGCAGAGCCTTACAGCCCGAAAGCCTTCCTCTGAAGTCAGAAGCTCTCTGACTCCTGCGGCTCTTCATGCAGCCACGTGCTGCTTGACTGCCAAAATCTGCAAATGCGCGAAAGAGGAGGAAAGAAGCCAATGCTTGAGAGCTTCGTAAGGCACCACCCACAAAGTACGCCCTACAGCTTCAAAGCCTCATGGAACCAAAGCCCTAAGCCCACTAAATTGCTAGTAGAACCAGAAGATTGGCCCCCTAAACCCTAAACCCCCTAAACCCCTAAACCCTAAACCCTAAACCCCCTAAACTTCCCTAAACCCCTAAACCCTAAACCCTAAACCCTAAACCCCCTAAACCCTAAACCCTAAATGCCCTAAACCCTGAACCCTAAACCCGACCTCCTCTCCTTGCAGTGGTTTTTTTTGAAAGCAATGGCAGCTCTGGCCTCGTCCAAGCAGCTCTCTGTGCCTACCCAGAGGCTCCAAAACCCCTTAACTAAGGAATATATACCTTACATCATATATTAGGGTTCCTATTATAGTTTAAGGTATTTCATTATAGTTTAAGGTATTTCATTATAGTTTAAGGTATTTCCCTTAATTAAGGGGTTTTGGAGCCTCCGGGTCTCACACGTCACTGCACGAGGCAGTCACATCTGCTTCTTTCACCTCGGTGGATCACTTCGCTTATGCCTTCGCTACTGTACACCCTTCGAACAACAGACCCAGCTCTCTCTGTGGAGCTCGCCTGCGCAGCCTGGTTCACACAGGACCCTTAGGCTTGTCAGCCCCTGCACAGTCGCAGTCGTAGCCTTTCGTACCGGACCGCCGGCAAACACACATACAGACGCACACGCGCCCACACACATGGGAAGACACGTAGGTCCGTGCGCATAATGACAACCAAACCAACATGTTTCTGCCCGACAGTCTCGTTCCGCTTGCCTGAGTTATATACGTGCTGTACGATGTCATGGACACGGCTTCGTGATCTCCTGGTGTATTTCTCGTATAGTCCTTCACCGTCAGGGAGTGTACGCTCGAATAATTTCAGAAATCTGAAGCAGTCGTGTACTTGCCTGAACATCGATGATGGGTAATGGGCATCCGTTTTTAGGATCCTAGGTCTTGTTTTTTTTTGGGGATTGCTTTTTGCTTTTTGGGTTTTCTCTTGCTTCCCAGACCTGAATGGGTAAATCTTCTGTGTGAAAGGGCTTCCTCCGAGGAGAACAAGAAAGGCTGTGGCTGGTTTTCATGTGAGCGTTTGCTACCTCATGCAAATTGTGTTTATGTATTGGCCTGGGAGGTGGGAACTTACACAGTAGGGTGCCGGTGCAGTGTTGTCGGCAACAACGTTTCTTTACTTGAGCAGGCTGCTTGAAGCTGGCGGCAGGAGCCAAACTGAGGCGACGGAGCGCACGCTTTGCTGACATGTTTCGAATTCTCTGGCTCAAAGACCAAGAACATGACTCACGCCCCATGCAAAGCATGGGGCATTGTTCGGTTAGTCCATTCCATTTCATAGCATTTGCATGTCTTTGGCGTTCGCTCCAAGCGTTTCGCCCTCAAGCCGACAGTGCTCTACAACTAGCCATACAGAATGCGGAGACTTGACTGAATATGTATCAGAACAGAAGGGTTTGTAGCGACACCTAGTAGGAACCCGTAGTACCATTTCCATGTATGTATGACGCTTTTCGAGCCGTCGCATAGCCCTAAACCCTAAACAGTAATGTTAGCGTGAGATTTTCAGCCTGACCAGCAAAGCTGCTCTGCAGTTTTGGCCTAGAGAAGGGACTCTGATAGCACCTTTAAGGGGTTTACAGTAGGGCTTAGGGTTTAGATTTATCCAATGCCAAGCCCATTTCACAATTGACGTCCCTGACAAACGGGATATTTTTTGCGGAGAGAGCCTTATTTGCATTGCCCAGGGAACTTGTTTTCGGTTGTTGGGATGCTGTGAGACTCTTTGCTTGGTTTGTTCGCAACAGCAGTCTTCCGATTTTTCAGTGGTATTGGCACTCTTGGTTTCTAATGCCTGGTGAACAGCATGCTTTGGGTTAATGTGCTACAGGTTCCCTACCAGGGTCCCTCATTCACAACCTAGGCAACCTGAATCACCACACTTACATCTCCCGTCGGCAGTGGCGGTGTTGATACCAAAAGCATGACGCGATGGTACAGGGTCCACTGTTCTCCTTCGTTCAGTTCAGCTGACCAGACTTTGGATTCTCGGGTTCCTTGCTGTCCAAAAGAAGGTTGTCGCCTCAGGGCTGGAAGGTTTTCTTACGTGGCGCCAGCCCGAACCGAAAATCGCGCTCAGCTCAAGAGATCAATCCAGCGTTGTTCTGAGTTTTGGCGTCGGTGCGCCGATGTCGCAACCTCTGCTCTTGGGCCTTAGGCCCGGGACCGTAACTCCCTAGCCCTCGCATCTGCCCATGTTGTTCCCTCACCGTTCTTCCCTGAACCCTAAACCCTAAACCCCTAAACCCTAAACCCCTGAACCCTAAACCCCAAACCCCCAAACCCTAAACCTGTCAGGAACCTTGCGGTGGTCGTAGATGTGCCGGCAGCCACTCCGCCTTCGGTGAATTCATCCTGAGAGCTCCGCCAAGCTACACGCTTCCAGTGGGCGCTCGACATTTTGTGCCTCGGTCGGTACTTCGGGGGGTGTGCTTTTTGGGAGCATTTGGAGGTTGAAATCGCGAGTAGAATCCAGAGGAGGTTTGTTACAGTGTAAGGTGGGCAAGGCTGAAAGAGCGCTCCCTGAACATCTGGGCATGTGCATGCTTTTGCTCGAGTCTTCCTTTTCTGAATCTTCATTTGGTAGGTGGTTCAATTTAGCTTCAAGGTCGTGGGCGACGCTTGCGAAGATGAGAACCTGGATGCTGCCCCGTCGGTGGATGTGGTGGAATGGCTGGATCCGGTCGACCCAGTGCAGCTTGGTACTCAGGGCAGGCGGTGGGCCTTAAAATTTGAGCGAGATTTGTCCTGATGATTCGAAGCGGGTCTTAGATCAGCCGACAGAGGGTTTCTGGCTTAGTTCCGACCCGGTGATGGTCAAATGCTGCTTTGGCACCATGGCACGGTGCAACTTTTCGCCCTTCCTCAGCTCGTTTGGTCACGCTGCTTTGCGGAAGCCAAGCTCAGGAACAACTCGACGATTCACGTTTTTCTGGAGCCCTTGCAGGCCGCGGTGGCTTAGGAAAGGTGCAAGAGTCAGAGTGTGTTTAGGGTTCAGGGTTTAGGGTTTAGGGTGGCGTGCCAGAGGCCAGTCTACCGAGACTTCCTTCACAAACGGTGCAACATGTTCAACATGTCGCCCAACTTGTTGAGCGAATCACCCTAAACCCTAGGCCCTAAACCTTAAGCCCCTAAACAATCTTAAACCGGTCCTCCCCCTGCCCAGGCAGAACGGCTGCACTCCGCCTCGCCCGCGATTTGTGTCCGATCCGTTCAAACAGGTGCAAGCTGCCTGGCAACCAGTAGCTTAAATCCCTGAACAAACAGGGGATCTATAGGGATCTACAGTAGATCATAGGGTTTCTTTATTATGGTACCAGTAGCATGAGGAGCCTGGACAGCTGCTAGTACGGTTCCTTCTATAATCACAATCCCCCCCAAACCCCTGTTCCAGTCATTTACACTTTCCGTAGAGCTGCTTTGCTACTTTTTTCAGCGGGTCAGAAATTGGTTGCAGGCGAGCACTTCAAGCTTTTTTATTAGATTTGCAATGTTTCTGTAGCTGTGGTGGTTCCTATCCTTAGTTTCATCGGGGTGTTATGCAGCAGTGCAAGATGCTCGCTGATTTTGCCGCCTTGCTTCAATGTTTCTAAGCATTCAGTCCCTCGTATACGGTTTAGGGTTTAGGGTTTATGGTTGTGCATCAGCGGAGCATACACAGTGGTTGCAGAGGAGCTCAGGGACCAAGATGAAGATGTGCGCATTGGCCATATGACAGTGTGGTTGCTGTCTTTGGTACTGTACAGGTTCGTGTTCATCTGGTGTTGGGAATCGTGGTAGTGCTTTGACGGTGTCACATTGAGCTCGCAAATTCCTGTTCCATTCTCACAACATCCCTCAAAGTTCCTCATCCGCCCCTTCTGCAGACCCCACCCTCCTCAGGTTGTGTGTGCCACTTGCAGCCGCCTGCAGCTGCCTGGGGCCCCTTCGCGTTGCTGCGGCGACGGTTGGTGAGACAGGAGCGGCTGGATGCGATGCTCTTGGACCTCCAGATCTCCTGTCCAGCAGGTGGGGCAAGACCAGAGAGGAAAGAAGCAACATCGGGATCTGTAGCTAACCCAAGGGTCGCCAAAGTTTTTTCCATACTATATGCCATATAGGCGGATGATGTGGCACATCATGACAGTGGAATTTTCCGCCAAGTTGCTGGAGGCCCAAGAGAAACATTTGCTGCGGTTTTCCAAAAAGACATGCTTGACTCCTGAGCCCCTTGTCTGAGGTCTTTTGGATGGGATGCTGTCGCTCGTGGTTCTTGTTCTCTTGCTCTTGGCCCTTTGTGTCATCCACGCCCTCTACCAGATGAAGCAGGGCAGGTTAGCAGAGACACAGGCCTCGGAAGCAGGCAGCATCTTGCCCGGAAAGGATCCTCAGCAGGTTCGGAAGTTGTAGGATTGTAGGAGCTTGAGCTGCGAAGCAGAAGAAGATGATAGAAAAAATGGCCGGGACAGGCTAGACAAAGAGTCCTGAGTTTCTTACTACCCATTTGGAGCATCACCTGCTTCAGCTCAGAAGCTGCAAGAGGCATGAAGCAGGGTCTGCGCATCTTAGGCATGGATGCGGTGATCATCCCAGATCCTGCTACGGATGCTTGGCCTTCCTCAGCCAGGAAAAAGTGATAACCAGGCAACATTCTACAGTCCCTTTGAAGATGAGCCTACCCTAAACCCGAAACCCTAAACCCCTAAACCCCTAAACCCTAAACCCTAAAAATGAGGCTACCCGACCTCAGGTTTTGAGGGTTTTTTCGTTGCCGCTGCAGGTGGCCCCAGGGCTCGTGGGTTCAGCTCGCAGGTGTTGCGTCTGCTCAACCTGAGGATTTGAAGAACGGGGCAATGCAGGCTTTCAGGTTAGTAACGCTGATGATCTCTCTGCAGACCGTCGTGCTGGAGCAGGTGAAGAAGGACTTGCGCAGATGCAGTTTCCAGCTTGCTTGCGCGACGACTTAGAGTGGCGTGCTGTCTGACAGGAAGCTGGGACGAAGCTGGTCTTCTTCGTGCTTCTGTGGCCTTGCATCTTTGGCGTGGCCGGTCTCCTCCGAGTTTTCCATAGCCTCTGCCAGCTGCAGCTGGCCCATGTAGCCCTCCAACATGGCATTTGCCTTACCAGGCCAGCGAGTGCTGCCAGAAACGATGCTTGGCCCCAGCTTGAAGCATAGGTTCTGCAAGGCAAGTTAGTCTTTCTCCGAGTATGTTCTGTCCTTTGGCCTTTGGCTTGTCCACCCTGATTGCGTTGAGCCACGTGTTAGTTTCAAAGTTGCAGCTGCGCCCCGTTGCGATGATTCTCGCAGCCAACCAGGACCTTTTCACTGCCGCCGGCACGGGCGTTTTAGCCGTCTGTGTTGTTGCCGCATTGGCTCACGTCCACTTTTGGGTGCTGCTGGCGTTGGTGATGGGTCTCTTTGCGGGGCCTACGCTCAGCATCCTCGGCGGCTTGGAAGTGCAAGGACTGCTACTGGTTATTGACACTTACTGGTTCGTTTTTTCTTCTCCTCTGTTGTTCCTTCTCCGGGGTGCAATTAATATGACCTAATCACCTCGCGGGTGACGTGGTCTGGTGGGTTCACATCCGGAGCCGCTACAGATCCGAGGTGAGCTCCAGAAGGTTCGCAGCCAGGAAGCCGCCCTGCGACGAACCGAAGGCAGGCATCGCTTGGAGGCGTTGCAGGAGCTGTTTCAAGCGGCTCCGAAGCCCGGTCTGGTGAAGGCCAGTTGCGCCGAGAGGCGGCTTGTGCAACCTGGTCACTGAGAAATTGAGCTTAGGGTATCGGCTCGTTCTCCATTGTGTTGGTTGTTCCGGCTTTGACCTTTTGGGTGCCCTGTCTAGGGCAACAAAGGGTGTGGTAGGAGGCCGTGGTATCATGTCTCATCTCTAGATTTGTGCATAATGTTCTTGCAATTTGTTCAAAATGTGTCCAAGGCAAGGAGAATTGCGAATGGTTCCGTTCAGCGTGATGATCTCTGCAGGCCAAAGCGCATCATGAGTCGAAGAGTTGCTGTAAAGGACAGCTACTGCTCTTTCCAGCGGACAAATTTCCCTGCAAACCCTAAACTGTGCGGGCGTGAAATGATCTCAGTGGCTGCCCCAGCGCCAAAGTCGGCAGGTCGTTCTTTGGGCGCCGCCGAGCTAGTCAAGACGTTGCAAGCAGCGGGTGGCACACAGCAGGACCTTAGCACCGGCGTCGGCGATCATAAAACTATGAAGTCAGATTATGCTCCAAATTTCTACTACAGCCCAGAAAGTCAACCATATCATTGCTCAGATGAGGAGTCCCCCCGCTTCAGTTTCCTGCGGGACGTCTTTTGGTACAGCCGCGCGCTGCGCAGCATGGCCGGATCCTTCGTCGGCTTCGTCATCATGCCGCGCCTCAGCGGGTGGTATAGATTTATAGATTGCAGAGCAAACTACTTCCGATAGGACTTTATAGGTTGGAACTTGGTTACATGTTGGTCATGAGGGAACAACTTCCAGTTTTGTGTGGCTTTCCAGATCAGTTTTGTGAGGTTGTTCAAGTAGTCTGGTGCCCAGAGATGTTGGATCGCTTACCCTAAACCCTAAACCCTAAACCCTAAAATTAGGACTTTCCTGATCATGGTGGCCCTCTTGCTCTTCTCGTCCTCTTTGCAATCGATCTTCTACCTCTGCAGCGTGCCGCAACTCAGCCATCTGAGCCTTGCATCGGGCCAGCTGCACTTCCACCCGTGGGTGCAGAAGTATTCGGTGAGCTTGGACCAGAGTTTTAAGGACGGGCGCATGGCATCGCAACCAGAGCATGGGCTATGCTAGAGCAATAGCAGTTTCGAAGCAAAGCAGGCAGCTCATCCTTCGTGCAAGTCGCATACAGTTTTTCTGTTTCAAGAGAATAAGCTATGCAACGACCCAGAAACTACTAGTCCCCCTTTCAGGCTCTACTCAAACAGCTGTACGAACTACCCCAAAAGCCTCTGGCCTGGGAAGTCTTCCGTCTTGCCAGGAAGCCTTTGTGGTCGCCAGTGCGGAGGAGTCTTCAACGAAGGCCTTGCGTATCGATGAGCAGCTCACCAACCAAAGCGTAACGACAGAGCCCGTGCAGCTCATGGTGCCCTTGCCACGTGTCACTCAGGTGGCCGTCAACGCACTTGGTAGCAGCTCTTTGCGCGTCTGCTGGGGCGAGTGTTTAGGCTACACAACCGTAGGAACATCGGACCTTTGAAGCTGGTAGTTTGGCTTTGACTCGTACTGGCTGGAGACAACAACACGAGATACAGGTCTACGCCTGTCGCGTTTGAGCTACCTAGCCGGAAGGTTCTGCGAGCGGTGGGCCAAAACCGACGGATGCCGTAGTCAGTAGCAGCACTTCACAAACACCTGCAACCCCATCCCATTTTTCTTGGCGTGAATCCACCTTGCGACACTCCTTCGCGAGGTGGAAGTGGAAGGCTTACACAGCTCCAAGACCTATGACATTGCTTTCTCTCCTGTTGGCACTTTGCCCCACACCGTCACCATCCGGGCCGGTAACTTTCTGCGTGAGGTGCCCTGGGGAGCAATCCCAGGCCTGGGCATTCCTAGGCAGTATCAGGTTGAGACCCCTTAAGGGTTTTGGCTTTAGGGTCCTTTATAAGGGTTCCCTTAAGGGTTTAGGGTCCTTTATAAGGGTTCCCTTCAAGGCGACCCTCCTTAACCCTACTCACTTGTGGCTCTCTTGAAAGGGGACGTTAGTGCGAGGGTCGAAAACTCCAGGGGTCCCCCTTATCCTAACTATGAGGTCTCCAACAAGTTTCGAGGTATTTGGCCTTTGGAATTGTGAAACCCGTCATACCTAGGTGCATGCATGCTGAATGCATGCCGCCTTGATGCCCTGAAGCAAAGGGGGCCGAGTAAAATCCAGGGCTTTCTGTCGGCATGCTGTATCTTCTTGAACTGCGATCTTCTGGTCCCTTTGAGTCCCTAAACCTTAAACCCTAAACCCTAAAACCCTAAAGCCCTAAAACCCTAAACCCTAAATACTTGGAGGATCGGTGATCAGCCTGCCAGAACTTCCAGAAGGTGCGCCTTCCCAGTCCTTGAGCATCGATGTCACCCTCACCGACTACCAGGTGAGCATCCCAAAGGCGTGTGAGACCTCCTGCGCCTCAGCAACCTTCACGAAGTTCTGCGCGATCAGTGCATGTAAAGATGCAAACCAGTCATGCAACTCAGCTGCATTGTGGGCAAGAGCATCTTCTGAGGGACAGAAAGCGCTGATCTCCCTGTGCCAACCCGCTCTGACTCGACTTACGACTCATATGGTCTTCCGACATCGGTTGAGTCTTGTTTTGTGTTTCGCGAGCTGCGCAGATGAGGCGCAGGCGCCTGCGATGAGCATTGCCGCCACGATCCCCATTGTCTGCAATCCATGCATGGCAACACCGGCTGCTATTTGGCGATCCGGCCGCCTGACGCATGCACCGGCAGCTCTGCTGAAAACTGTTAGGATTGCGCAGAGTTTACAGGAAAGCACACACTACGATGCGGCGGCACTCAGTGGCACAGGTCACATGATCTCCTTTCATTTCAGCACAAACCCCCGGCAGCCCTAGATTTTTTTTGGTCCCTTGCAAGGCGGTGGCAGCGCAGAGCACTTCCTGGATCGCTCGGTGAGTGGGCGGCTGTGCCAAGTGAAGGGCCAGGGCTTTGAATGTCGCCGTGCAGAAGCCACAGGTCGGTGGGTCCTGAAGTTCCCAGAGGTGCAGCCAGCCACCTGGCCGGAAATAGAATGAGAGTTTGAGAGTTTATAACCATGAGTTAGCATGGGTTGAGTGGGTGTAAGACTTGAATTGGTTTCAGTTTGGCACGTTCCTTTCAGGGGGGGCTTGGCGAGCAATAGCCTCTCTTCCGTACCAGGACTGGATTGACAAGTTTGCAGAGTTGCGCCTGAGCCTTGCGCTAGCAGTCGGCGAGCAGCAGCTGGAACCTTGGCGTTGCCGAGCTGAGCAGATGTGGGGTTGCATGGAAAGGCCCCAATAAGCCGCAATGGAGTCCAGACGAATTGTGTTGCTTCCATGTTTTCCCCCTCCCCAATTCTCCCAGCCGAACCCCATGAGCAACAGGGTGTTCCTGTGTGAACCTCTGGATGACATTCTGTTTTTCGTTCGAGGCAACGTTTCTTACTTCTCTCAAATCCATCCCGTCCGAGGACAGTGATTTCGAATCTCTTCGTTTGAAGCTTGGCCCGCCACAGCTGCTGGACGTGCTCGTGAACGTCAGCACCGAGGTGAACGGAACGCGAAGGTGGTTGAAGCTTTGCATGTGAATGGTGTTTTGGGGGGAGGCGAGAGTGGGAGAGCTAGGACAAGGAGTTTGGCTCCATCTGAGACGTTTCAAGAAGAGGTGGGCGATACTATGACCCCGGAACCATGAAATAACAATTCGAGACTGTTCATCAGGGCCTTACGGTTTGGTACAATATCTGAATGTTGCGAGATTGCGTGTTTTTCGCAGTACTGAGGACATTTTGGGTGTGTCGATGTTGAAGCAACTTCCATGCGAGCGTCTCCCCGGAGGAAATCCGGAGTCTGTATTTTTGGGCTTGGTGTTGCATCATCAGCTTCTACAGCTCTTGCCATCACTCAGGAGTGCGACTGGCAAAGTCACTACTGCCGGGGACGTCGAAGTCATGTTATGGCCATACAGGCGCTTCGGCAAGCGCAGCGTTAGTAAGTCGGGCGAAATGTGGTGGTGGAGACATTTCCATTCAGCTGCCTTCGAAGGATGTTTGGTTGACTTCCTCCTAATTAGGGATCTCATGCTTCATATAGGGGCCTTAATAATTAGAACAGGGTTCTGGGGCCCATTATACTATAAACTATAACAAGGAGGCCCCTACATTAGATGTTTTCCTGTCCTAGGCCCCCCGACATCGACCGCCTGACGCTGCACATTGCTCCGCTACTGGCTGACTCGAAGTTCGACACCTCCTGGGAGTTGGCACCGCGAGCGCAGATTTCGAACGAAAGCATCCGAATCTGGGCTTTTGCTGAGTTTTTCCCAACTTTTGAGGTCCAGGAATTTTTGGGATTCAGGGCTATTAATTAGCTTTTGGGGGACGAAAGATCTTGAGTTCGTCAGTATCAGGCACCAGCCTTTCAGAGCTGGGACAGCCGCCTTTTTGGGGAAGGGGCACCAAGTGGTCCATGCTGTTATAAGAGACACTTCAGGCTTTGCGAAATGCCAGCTGAGCCCTTTTTTGGAGGCGCATGGGTGGATCTCAAACTGAGTTCCACTCAGTCTTGGCAGCCTGGATTTTTCACACAGTGCTTGCTTCGCGGTTTCGGGGCCGTGTTCCAAAGGCTTCTTCTCCGACAGTGCTGCAGAATCATGTCAAGACAGCAGCATCATTCAGCCGAGATGGCTAGTCTTGCGGAGAAGTCGGCAGGTCATTAGCCACAAGACTCTGACATGTCATTCGGAGAATGCGCTGTGCAGGCTCGATTTCAGCTCTGCGGCAGGGCAAAACATGGCTGGACAGCGATACTGGGTCACTGTTAAGCAACTTCTTGCGAGATATGGGTATACGCCAAAACTTCCGGCTTTCCATCATCATCTACATGAAGTTCCTAAACAGTTGCCCAGGACAGTGGCCAGCATTCCGTTGGACGTTTGGCGGCCGGAGCTCACGTCTTTGACCTTCAGCATCGTGCCCAAGTCCCAGGATTCCGAGATGCTGGGCGGCCTCGAGTTGCCATTGCGAACTTCACCGGGTTCCGTTAAAGGGCTACAGAGTGTTATGGGAGTTCTATGGGACCAATTACATTTCTTACACATTGGATTCCTGTAGGGATTTTAGGAGTTCTTGGAGCTCATTCGTTCTCTCTCCCTCTCTCTCCATCTCTCCCCCTGTGTGTTTGCTGCAAGTACGTGGCCACAACAACCCAAAGACTGGACGTCGCAACTGGGCGCGCTGGGAAGATCATGCTCAACTTCCTGATAGTTGCAGCATGAAGATAAAAACCCTATTCTTAGAATGCCATTCAAACCCCATGACATTGCATCGGGTGTTTCGGTGAACTTAGATGCCAAGGACTGCTAGCTGGCAACGTGGTGACCGCAGAATTCAGATCTTGCTTAGAGGTGCTGTGGAGGCCACGGTGGTTTTGAGGGCTTACGGCTTTAAGGATCTCAAACATGTGGAGTTCCTGCTACCTCGTGCGTTGCTGGACGGTCGGTTCGTGTCCAGAGAGTAACCCAATCAAGCTAGACTTCCTGTTGCGGGAAGTTATCATTCACAATTCCGTTTGCGACAACAGGGGCACACTCATGAAACAAAACCGCAGTGGAACACAAGTCATTGGCAGCTGGTCCCTACATGTTTGGAGGCTGCACAATGGGCGTTGCCTGATCTCAGCTCCAGAGACCCGTGTCGCCTTCTTGGGACTTCGTCTGACTACGAAGAGCTGAAGTATTCCACCACCGCGCTTTGCAGCTACATCCGACACAACTGCCTGACATTGACGAGGGAGGCGGATGCTCAGCCTGTAGCCTTGACAAAAGTTCTCTCTGATGCTGGGAGAGTTTCAGCCCCAGTTGTCGCTGGTTCGTGGAGCCGTGTATCCCAGTGGTTGGCCTGCGCCCACGAAGTTCCAAAACCACCCCGCTGGGCAGCTGCAGAAATGTGGGAGCCGTGCTCACGCGGGAAAGGGCTAGAGGCAGACGGGATGTGTCCCTCTGAAGAACAATTAGATCAATTAGCTTCTTTGGGTATGACGTCTAGGTATACTGATACATACCGGGTGAGGGACTTTGTCCTTCAAATGTCTCGTGGGGTACTCGGAGCGTTTCAGATGCTAAAACAATCCTGCCATGCTCTGCTGCAAAGAGGGCGTTTCAGTCAAGAAGATCAGCTGCAACTAGCAGCTGCTGCCTTGAGCACGGAGAAGGCATCTGTGGTGGGTGCATGCCTCACGCATTGCAGCAATGTTTCGCACTGGCACCCTCGTCTCCAGCAGCAGCTCGTCCAAAAGACGTGGAACACCAATTCTGCCGAAGCAATCATCAGAGTTTTAGTTGGATCTGCTGAAATGGGCAAGGAAGTCGTTACAAACATCGTGGCTCGTTCTTGTGCAGAATGTCTGGGCGTGCTTCGGCTTGCCGTAAGCAGCCGCACTCGGCCATGGGTTGGTTGGAGGTCTGTGGCGACACTGGAGGCAGGGTCCGCTCGGACATCGGCTGAAATTGTGGCAGATGTCTTGGAGCTGCCATGGATTCTTTGGAATGCGAGTGCCCTATGCCTAAAAGACTTTGGAAGCAGAAAAAAGGGAAGTGTGATTATTACCGAGCTAGGTTGCAGCAGCATGATGAGATCTCTCACCTCCGCTGGACAGAACCTCACGGAGCTCGAAATCTCACCCTGGTCGTGGAGTTGGGCCGATAGCAGTCCGGCCGCCTTCGCAGAACTGGGGCCGATGTCACGGCTGGAGAAGCTGAGATGGCTTAGTGAGACCGCTTCCGATGACCTGGCAGCTGCACTGATCATGAATCTGTCGGGACGCTTCCCCTCTCTGCAAGAGTTGGAGGTGACGTACACGATTGCTAGCCGAGCTAAGGACGCCCTGGCAGAAGGCATGGAGAAAGCACTCAACACGTCATCACTCAGGGTCTTGCACCTCACATGCCACGGACCAGCTGCTGCAATGGCAGCGGCCGTAGGCCAGATATCTCCGCAGCTGGAGGAGCTGAGGCTCGAGGGGAGGGATGGCGTGAGGGCCTTCATCGCCGCTTTTCCGCACCAGGGCACCTGCCGCCTGAAGAAGCTGAATGTCTTTGCGCTGGGGAAGGCAAGTTTTGAGCTTGCCGTTTCTCTGGCAAAGGCACTCCGGAGATGCCATGACCTTCAGGAGGTCCAATTGGACCTTCCTCTCAAAGCCACCCGTGAGAACACAGATGCCATCAAGCAGATGAAAAGTGCTTCTTGGCCAAAGCTCACCAGCTTCGAACCCTTCATCCTCAGTTCCAACACGCAGCGCTGGCGGCGCTGGCTCGCAAGGCACCCTTCACATGTTTTGGATTCAGCGGGGAAGAAGTTGAGCAAGATGAAGGTACGGAAGTCAAGATACAGTGCCTGGGTTCTTGTTAAGAGATGTAATTTAAGTTACCATAATAAGGAAACCCCATGGTTTCTAGATCCCTATGATGGTACCTTAAATTAAATCCCCTAACAAGAACCCAGGTGCAGAAGCTCTATGAGCTGAGCTGCATGGGCCGGTGGAGTTGCACCATGAGGGGTCCGAAGGAGAACCGGCGCGAGACTGCCAAGTTGGGACCAAAAACGGTTGAATCAGCAACCCTAAACCCCTAAACCCCTAAACCCCTAGACCGCTAAACCCTACACCCCTAAACCCTGAACCCGAAACCCCTAAACCCTAGACCCTAAACCCCTAAACCCAGGCTTTGTCCGAGAGTGAGTGCTGAAACCCTAAACCTTAAAGAGTGTCGCGGTAGGAGGCAAAAAAGAGTGTCTCGTTCCAGGAGTTCCGCCGCATGAAGCTGGAAGAGTATCAGCGAATGGTTGCCATGTCCAAGGGCCTCTGAAGCTTTCAAGCCTGGGNNAAACCTTAAAGCCTAAACCCTAACTGTGCTGTACATCGTGAGGCTTTCAGATGCTTGCATTCTCGTGACACAGCTCAGAACCATTGTGCAACCATGAGGACCCTCTGCGTTCCGAAAGTGTTCGAAGCTTTCGTGAAAGGGATCTTCTTAGGCTGGTCAGGGGCTTGAATAATTCATGAGACTAGGGTTGTGCGGGGTATAGCATAGTCTAGTATAGTTATAGTTATTTGCAGGGACTCTGTTAAGTTTAGGACGTAGGCGTACTTGGCATGACGGTTTTTTTACGACACCTAGAACATGGGTCTTGGCTATTATGCTGGTGATGCTTGCGGTGGCTGCTGCTATCAGGCTATCATGTTTATCGCTGTTATGAAGAGCGACGACGATGGCCATTACTATCACTACCACGATTACTAACATAGTTATTTTTCTGGGTTGGCCGGGCCGCTGATTGAAACTCATGCTACTGAAACTGAAGGACCTCAAGCTCCAAGTATATTTAGTGGTTTAGGGTTTAGGGT